GAGAAAGCTTGCACGCAACTAATCGTGCAACATCTTCGTCTTTTTCTTTTTAATAAAAAGTTCTCATGTTACAAAAGTGAATAATATTTATATTTTAATATCCTTAGCAACAATCATGGGTTATTATACAATAATATGTAAAAAATATTTTTTTTGCATAGTGACGTTGAAGAAGATGTTTGTATGAATCTGTCGTCATGATTTAATAGGTTCTTCAAAAATAATTAGGTATGTAGATAAGAAAATGTCTAATATGGACTAAAATAATCACTAAAAGCATAGTTTAGCATATTTACAAAAGTTGTGTATTGAGATAGGTATAAATAAAGTTAAAGAGATCATATTCTTTTTATAAAGCTCTCTCTTAATGGACAAATCTCAATTTTTATTACATATATTGATAATATTTTTTTTATAGGAGATGAAAATCAAGATAAAGCTCGTAGAAAAAACTTACTAAAGAATTTATAATTAAATAGTTAGGAAAACTCGTATACTTCTTCAGAATAAAAAAAAGTCTGAATTTAAACAAGGGTTATTTCATTCCAAATAGAATGTTAGGATCTATTGAAAGAGACTAAGATGACAGATTATTACAGGTTTTCTCAGTCTCTTTCGTGTTAATTTCTCTAATCATAGATTGTTCCCGCAACATTTAAGTGCTTTGACAACCACAGTATTTAGTAATCTTAAACTCATTAGTTTTCTCTTTTAGAGCGGCTCAATATAACTATAAGTATGCCAATCTAGATATCATATAACCCCTAGATTATTGTTTAAGGCCTCTAATTCTTCATTACGTTTTAAAGTTAAATTTATTTCGACTCAAATTAAGTTATATTTAGTATCGTTGAGTTTGTATATTTGTTTTATTGAGATGTTCAATTTAACTATAAATTTGTTACAATTAAAATTCAAGGAGTTATATCATCTAAAATGCAAGGAGATTTTTATTAAATAAAACTCATTAAGCAGGATGCCAAACTAATACATTGCTAGTTTCCCAATGAAATTGCACAATGACTCAAATCAACAAACTTTTTAGTATTTGCATGTCACGAATAAAAATGAATGCCATTTAAGAGAAAATGATCAACATTATACAGATGATATCAATAATGTTGATACAAGATTACATATAAACATCATTCTCTTCAATTATGATCTAAAAATCCAGGCTCACAGAACAACACAAGGCAGTTTCCAGATCCCCATAACCAACCCTAGCTGTAAAGCAGGCGAGGCCGTCTCCCTAAAACTGCAACGCGGTGCCAGTAGTAAGCATGTTGCTCGTGATCAGGAAACATAAAATCAAACAGTTTGTCACCAAGCACTAGTTGGCGCAAGAAAAGCTGGGCGGCCGGAGTCCGCGCCACCACCGCCGCCATCTTCTCTATGCGTTCGCAAGCACTCCGATCAATCGGCGGCTCCGGCGTTTCCACCCCATCCTCATATTCGTCTTCCGGCACCTCTTCCTCTTCCTCTTCTTCTAATTCCTCCATGGTTATTGGTTCTGAGAATTGGAGTGCTTGCTCTTCTTCCTTCTCCATCTATTGGTTTCTATGATCTGGTGGAGAAGAGGCTTGAAATATATAGAGGGGGAGGTTGGAGAAAGCCATGGATAAGAAGAGGAGCACGTGAAGGGAAGGAGGTAAGAAAGATGAGTTCTTCAGGTTGGCGTTCTTTTAAAGTTTAGATTTTTAGTGAATGGGGCTCACACGTGTCAGGCACGAGAAGCATGGTGCTATGTTTGTAAGTCAAAGCTAAAAAAGAAGCTTTTTTTTATTAGTTTTAGAAGTCAATTAAGGGTCCGTTTGGTGCAGCTTATAAGTGCGGGCAGCATTTTCAAAACACCACATCATTATTTGGAAAACACGTTTCGGCAGCTTATCCGAAAACACGGTTAAACACAGGCCGAAACCCGCGGGCCGCCTACTGTTCGCGTTTCAGGATAAGTTGTTTATCTAGATAAACACAAACTGCCCCAAACACACCCTAAGTGATGCGCTGGTTGTTTTGGGTTGATCCAACTTCCTATTTATTTGACTCTTAACTTAGGCTTTATTTGAAAACAGAACCTTTAAAAACTACATTCGTCTAATTAGAAGAGATGGGTTGTAATCTGAAATGATAAAAAATTTATCGTTCGTATAAAAGAATTTTGGTAGATGTTCATCTTTTACTGTTTTATCAAACAAAATTTTTGCAGACTTCGGCGTTCATTCCAACCTCCAGCTTAACAGAACTTCACCGTCTCCTCGAACGAAACTTTAAGTGCTTCTGTTGAGACCGAGAAAGACTGAGAACCGATAAGAGTTGCGATGGGATTATCATTTATTACTTTTTAGTGACTATATGTGTTATAAAATCCAAACAAATTAAAAAAAAATTTGAGTGAATTTTTATGTAGAAATTATTGAGAGAGAAAATTTATGGAGGCTAATTAACTAAAATAGCTTGCATTAACTATGATAAAATGGAATACAAGATAATGCCATTATTTATACAAAAGGATAATACTTTAACTCTTCTATAGATAAGCAATGCATATTATACTATTTATTAATAATGATAAGGAATGAACCCTCGCATAATTTGATTTTTTTTTTAAATTACTAGCATGTGCATGTTTAGGCATCAAACAAAGTTTAGTAATAATGTTAGGGGTAATATTAACAAAAGTTCAAAAAATCTTGGTACATATGACAATGTTTCGGGTAGGGATGTCAAAAAAGCTCTTTGTTCGCGAACAACTCGTGTTCAGCTCGTTCGTTAAGTAAACAAGCCGAACACGAACAACTATTTGTGTTCGGCTCATTTTAGCTTGAAATTAAAAATATATATAATTATTTATATAATAATATATTACATATATTATTTATAAAATAATATTATATATTATCTAAATTTAAATCATAACATTTTGTGTGTTAATGTGGTTAGTGTCTTCTTTTGTATATATTTGCTCCAGGTTCGAATCTCACACTTTACATCTATTTTGTTCAATTTAATTTTTTTCGGAGCCAATTTTGAGCTGAACACGAATACACTATTCACGAGCCAATTTCAACCACGAGCTGATTTCGAAGATGTGCTATTTCGAACGAGTCGAACACGAGCCAAGCCTGAGCTCGCTCAAGCTCAGCTCATTTACAGCCCTAGTTTCGAGAAACTTTTACCAATTTGTTAGGATTTTTTTTCCTTCGATAATGATGACATAACTCTTTTAATTTTTGCGCTTGTTTAAGAATTATAATTATTGTGCTTGCATTTGCATATCTATCACCCCAATTTCAAGTTATATAAACACACACACACACACACCTCTTTATCATGGATGACAATGTGTATTTCACTTTGTAAATAGTTAAAATAGTGATATTTTTGATGTGATATGAGAGAATTGGGTGGTACAAATGTAAAAAAAAAATCAAAATTTAGGTGTAAATATGTAAATAAACAAGAATTGGGCGGTATGTATGTAAAATGTATTCTTAAGACTATTATTTCTTGTGCTAAGTCAAACTCTTTAAATTTTGAGGTGGTGAGAAATATTATAGACTGTGAAAATGTATTAACTTAAATGAAAGTAGCTTTTTATTTTAATTTAATTTCCTTATGTAAGTATTCTAGAAATAATAAAAAACAAAAACATGTAAGGGAGACTAAAAGGCTACTTGGGCAAGAACTAGGGGTGTAAACAAACCGAACACGAACGAACAAAGCTTGTGTTCGTGTTCGCTTCGTTTAAAATTTAGTTTGTTTGAAATAAGCTCGTGTTCGTTTCTTAACGAACGAGTCGAACACGAACCGAACACGAGCTGTTCGTGAACGACGAGCCAATTTGACATCCCTAATATTAATATATAAAAATAATATTATATATTAATTATATAACTTATATTATATAAATATTCAATATCTATATTAGTATATTACTACTATAGTATATTAATATATTATTATTATTATTTTATTATATATTATAATTTATAAAATTTAATGTTTTAAAGTATAATAAATTTTTTATATATAATTATTTTATATTATTTCATATTTCAAACAATAACGATTCGAACACGAACGAACGCATCACTGTTCGTGTTTGGTTCGTTTAACTAACCGAACGAAAAAAATTTGTTCGTGTTTGTTTCGTTTACTTATCGAACGAATCGAACACGAACTCATTGACGAACCGAACACGAACTGTTCGCGAACAACGAGCTTTTTTGACGGCCCTAGCAAGAACTTAACTTAAATCCAACCAAACATCAAAAAATACAGAACTTAAATCCGAAGCTCTAAAGTCTAGTTTTTTCACTTTTCGTCGCTTTCTGCCTTCATTCCATCTCCATTTCGACGTAAATCTGGATCTGATAAATCCAAATATTTTAAAGGATTTGTTTTGCCTTCGACTCGCTCTATTTCCATGGAAGGATTTATCGGATTTCATAAATCCTATCTAACTTTAATCCAAATTGCAGCCAAATACCCACCTAAATTGGCAAAATTTGTAGATTAACAAGAGTTATTGACATGGAAAAAACACTAAAAAAAAATCAATAATGCAAAATCATTTCAAAATTATACATAATTCTTCTAACTAAATTATAATTGAAAAATGATTTCATGAATTTTAATTAGATTATGGCATGTGCTCATGGAGAAATTAGTTTAAGAATGTTTCAATTAGTATTAATTTAGAAAAAAAAGCAATATTAATTGCAATTTAGGAATGATAAAATGAACTATTAAAACGGATTTAATTACTTCTTAATTTATTTATTTAAAGAGAATAATTCTCTTGAGTTATTCATAAAATTAATTACTGTAACTTACGTCAAATTTTTTATAACCTTCAACACAAATTAATTATATTAAACATGAAAGTAACTCCCAAACTCTAATCTCATCTCTAAACTATATAAACCAGCCCTCTTCAACTCATTCCACCAAAAACAGCAGCAGCAGCAACAACAACAACAATAACAACAATAGTAATGGTGAAATCAGGAGCAGTTTCTTATGTCGTCCTCTTTCTTGTCGTTGTCAGCGGCACAATGACACCCACAGCCTCATCATTCGACCTCTTCCCTAACATCTTCAAGTGCTGGAAGGCCATTGTAGAGGTCGAAAGTTGTGCTGTGAAGCTTATTCCTTCTTTCCTTAGCTTGCATATAAGGCTCACTCAAGAATGTTGCAAGGCTTTCGTCCACATTGAAGAGAGCTGCCTTCCTATTGTGTTCCCCAACCCTGTGTTTGGCCCCGTGCTGGCAAACATTACCTCCACCATTTGCGGCGCACTCGCCGATCCCCCATCGCCACCGGCGATGGCTTAAAAAATTTTTGTAGGTTTTGTTTTCAATAAGGTCCTTCCTCTCTTACATGGAATAAGGACACTAGTATATGTATGACGAGCGATTCTTATGTGTGGAATCTGCACATGTGGATTTGTGGTGTTTGATAATATTTAGTGTTATTATACTAAAATACTATCAAATCCGCACATATTCACATCTATTCTGTCTGTAGGTAATGTTTTTTCCTACATGAGAGTTGAGCAATGATGATTTTTGCATTACTGTTTCAATTAGTTAACGGTCACTTGAGTGTTCTTCTTCGTTTATTTGTTCAATGTAATTTGCATGATAATAAGGATTTTGTTATAGGCTTTTTTCTCATCTTTTGAAAGCACAATTTGCAGCTTGTTATGTCAAATATTTTTTTTATAATGTTCAGGTAAATCCTAGTAATATATATAACGTTCGATTCTTTTCTGGCTAGTTTTTAAAGTACAACTTAAATTGAAATGTGATTGATATGAGAGGAGTTTATCTTCCCTCCAAAACTTAAAATTCAAGTAGTGTCAGCAAATTGATTATTGGAGTTACAACAATTGGTTTATCTTAATTACATTAAATTAAAACTAATGGCGTGTTTGGTGAGAAAATATTACATCATGACTCCTAACGCATTCAAAGTCCAATGGTGGGACGTTACATGTCAAGTGGGTTCCACCGCAATACACTGGCAACGGCCGATGTTAAAAATGATGGGGCTAAAAAATGTCCCTGAAGCGACAACAATCTTGGATTTAAAAGAATGACTTTCTTCGTATCTTCCTTCGTAGCTCGTCTCGTCCTTCATAGCTAATCTCCTCCTTCGTGACTCTTCGCATGGGAGAAGAGAAGATCAAAGCTGTCGTCGCGGCCCGCCCGCACAGGATAATGAACAATCTGGGAATGTTCACATGCCTGCCACATAATTTATATGATTTCATGTGTCTACCAGCTAAAGTTTTATATTTACATTTATATCACTATGATGCCATCCTCTCAAAATCTTCAATCCTTTATGCTCAATCTTGACATAAACTGCTAAACATTTTTATGGATTTAAGTGGATTTAATTTAACTAATGCCAAACTAAATTTTAGATTTAACATAAATTGGATTTAATAAATCCGAATTTATTTGATTTAGTAAATCCTACTCTATCTTGAATTCTAAAGGTGCGTTTGGGGCAGCTTGTGCGTTTCAGGACAAGCTGTTTATCCTGAAACGCGGCCAGCGGGTAGGCCCCGGGGTTCGACCCGCGGCCTGCGTTTAGTGTAAAAACCCAAACGCGGTTTGAGATAAGCTAGCGAAACGTACGAACCAAATAAACTGCCCCAAACGGGTCCTAAATGCATCCAAACACCTCCTAAGTGGGTATTTGGTATCATCATGGATTTAACTTCAATCCATCCAAACACAAAAAAAAAAATGAAAATTTTAGTCCAACACTCCAATAAATTAAATTTTTAAGCGTTTCATCTTTCTTTCAAATTTAATAAATCAAATTGTTAGGGGGATTATGGATTTATTCTGCCGTCGCTTACGAGCTCTATCTTTGTGGTACGTATTTATCGGATTTACTGAATTTGATAAATTATATTTAACATAAATTCAAAATTATTAGTTTCATTTTCAACCAAATAACTTTTTATATTTAACCTAAACTAAAATTATTACATCTAGTATATATCACACAATTCTTATATATTTATCAATCTAGCATCTAAACTTTAATATTTATAATTATAACACTCAAATTATTAACATCACAACAAAAATATAACATATATTAACTTTTTAAAAATCAAATGAGCACTTTTATGTATATGCTTAGGGGTGTAAACGAGCCGAACACGAACGAACAGTACTCATGTTCGTGTTCGGTTCGTTTGAAATATAATTTGTTTGAAATAGGCTCGTGTTCGAAATTGTTCGTGAAGAGTCTGTTCGTGTTCGGTTCGTTTTTGTTCGAATTGTTCGAATTGTTCGAATTGTTCGAATTGTTCGAA